TTGGATACCTTCAAAGCCATCTTGCTTCTCTAAAGCAGCATTTCAAAGATCTATTTAGGCCCATCAGTGCATAAACAGTGAATGTTAAACAAGCAGGTTTCCTAAAACCATTCCCTTCTTTGGGGTCATCTACTTCAGGGGTCACCAACCTTTTGGACCTCAGGGACACCAAACTCATAATTTTAAATCCTGGGGACCACTAATGTGAATTTTGACTGACGGTGGCTTGCTGACGTTGGTAGGAGGGAGGGAGGGAAAGATCTATTCTAACCTCTCTCTCTCTCTCTCTCTCTCTCACACACACACACACAGAGAGAGAGAGAGAGAGAGAGATCCCTCACACATCCCACGTCCTCCAAAGCAGCCACATTCATGCTTTTGAGCTTCGTTGGGGGTGGGGGGAGAAAGACCACTGATCTTCTTCAACTTACTCTTGCAAAGCATTTTTTTTCTGTTCCTCTCACACAGTTAAGCCATGCAGTTAAGAAACAAAGATTGGCTGCTTCAGTAGGAAGTTCAGTTTTTGTGGATGGAACAGGAGACAAGAGTAAATAAAGATCCATTGGAATCCAAAACTTTTTTATTAGGTATGATCAAAGGGAATTTGAGTAAAGATAAAAGATACCTTATTGTACACATCTTAACTGCAGCAAGAATCACATTAGCACGAAATTGGAAGAGTGATAAAATACCACCAGATGAAGTTCTGATTCAAAAAATAATGAACTGTGCTGAACTAGAAAAATTCACTATGGAACTGAAAGGCAAAGAGGATCAAGAATACTGTGCGACATGGAAGAGGTGGTACGAATGGGTGAAGAATAAGGATAAAAATAATGTATAGTCACAAAACAGGAAACATGTATATACAATGACACAATAACTGTTAATGGAAATGAGATTATTGTATTTTTGTTTCTTAAAGAATAAAAATTTAATTAAAAAAAGATCAATTTTCAATATTGCAAAATTAGTCTAGTGTCTTTTCTGTCATCCACATGTTTAACTTCCTTTTTGTGCATTCTCTGAATTATAGAATGAATCCAAGTTTTTCCGGTAGGGCTTGAAAGCTGAGCAAATCAATAGCTGAATATGCAAGCCACCATTTATTTCTCCATGTGTACCACTGATCTTTTTGTGTCAGTACCAGGTAGCTCCCAGTCAAGCTTATTATATACTTAATATCTTAAGGTAGCCTTCTGAATAGACGAAGTGTGTGGTATGGATAAAGGAGATAGAACCTACCCAGTTAAGATGTCAATGCTGTGGACCAGCCTTCTGAAAGACGCCAGTTTATTCAATGTGCAATTTGCATCTGCTAGTCTAAAACTGTGTAAATTATGCTTTTAAACTCAGTATATACACACAGACACACACACACATCCTATTGCTATTTACACAGTTATTTCATTTTTCTCATGCAAATTCTTTTTTGTGGTGGAGGGGGGAGTTTTTTATTTTATATTATATATATACAAATCAATGTGTGAACAGTGTGACACCTGGGTGCCATACATTTTGGTACAAATAAAAATAATATTACCGTGTTTCTCACATAATAAGGCCGGGCCTTATTTTTTTTTTACCCCCGAAAAAACGGCTAGGCTGTCTTTTCGGGGGTGACTTAATTCCCCCCCCCTTGCATCCTCGGGTGGGCAGGCAGCGACAGCTTGGATGTTCGGGAGACCTTCCGCCACCGTTGCTTTCCCTTCTCCCTTGCTGCCGCGGCATTAGAGCAACGCTGCAGCGTTTGGCGCAGCCATGTGCGGCCAGTCAGGGCTCCTCCCTGTAACCGGAGCCTTGAGGAGACACTTGGCTTCAGGTGCTCCAGTCGCCGCCTTCCCTTTGCCTTCGAAGGTTAAGCGAATTATTTTAAAAACCTCCGCTCATCCCACCAGGGCTGCGCCGGAGCCGTGCGGGCTGGACAGAGCCAGGAAAGCGAGCTCTTCGCGCTCCGCCTGGGGCGCCCAGTGCAGCTGACAGGTGGGCCCTACTTCCCGGCGGCAGAGAGCGCCTCCCTGCCGGGCCCTCCGCTCATCCCGCCAGGGCCGCGCCTGAGCCGTGCGGGCTGGGCAGAGCCAGGAAACACCCACAGCTCGCTTTCCCGGCTCTGCCCAGCCCGCATGGCTTCGGCGTGGCCCTGGTGGGATGAGCGGAGGTTTTTAAAATAATTTGCGTTACCTTCGAAGGCAAAGGGAAGGCGGCGACAGGAGCGCCTGAAGCCAAGTGTCTCCTCAGAGCTCCCGTTGCAGGGAGGAGCCCTGACTGGCCGCACGTGGCTGCGCCAAACACTGCGGCATTGCTCTAATGCTGCGGCAGCAAGGGAGAAGGGAAAGCAATGGTGTGAAGTGCCCCACCAACGCAGGCAGCACCATATCCAGGCATGCAACAAAGTACTTCTTAACAGCAAGCCCCCCCCCCCCCCGGCACCCCCCCCCCCCCCATTTCGCATGTTTAATATGGGCCTTAATTTTGGGGGAGGGGCTTAATTTTATTTTATGCCAATAAATCATGCTGGGGCTTCCTAATGGTGGAGGCCGTATTGTTGGAGAAACACGGTATTACTCATGATTATTACATTCATCCAGTTTATATATTTATAATAATAATACACATTTATAGTAGGTTATAATCTTTCATTATTTCATATTGTATAAACATTGTTAATGTTACTGGTATCTCCTTGTTGTCTTCTTTTCGCTGATTTCCCAGTTCTGGTTTTCCCTCCATTCCTTCTGCTGGCTTCTTCTTGTACTGAGCATCTTAGTCTTTACTCATTATCCCTTGTATAATATTTTCCACTTTTTGGTCTATGCCATCTTTAATTCCATAGTCACCTTGTGTTCTTTCTGTATTATATCCTTTATGCTTTGAAACATCAGCTCCATTTCATTCAAAGTTCCATTTCTTTTGTCCATATATTGCATCTTGTCTTGTTTTAATAAATTCCACTTGGGCCAATAGCCCAAGAATTCTTTTATTCAAAGCTGAGTTTACTCTTCAGACTGCACACTAACCATAGTTCTTTATATTAGTCAGTTCCATTGAAATAGTCCAGGGAGTTATCCAAGTGTCCTTAAGTCACTTTTATAAGTTCAATCATATGACATAACATTCAGGGTCATTTTAATTAAAAATCTTCCTTGTTGCCATATTTAAATCTCCAATGATCTTAGGGTAGGTGAATATAATCCAGTAGATATTTTCACCGTCCTTCAAAGAAATATTCCCAAGCTTGTATATTTATCTCTCATCAGCAGATGGCACTCTCTTCATAACAATATTGTTAGTGGTAGATCTGATTTTAATTATTTTGAATTGTAGTTCAAATACAAAAGCAGTGTTAATTTTTAAATCTGTAATTCCAGCATTTTAAAATGCCTTCTCAATTCCACATCTTCCCAGTTTGGGAGTCCAATTTCCTGTATTTTTGAAGAAGAAAAAAGTTTTTTTCTCTCTCTTTCTTTTCCTTCTAGTTTGATAATTTTCTCAAAGTGTTTATTCGCTGCTTTAATAAATAATTCTGAATTAATCGTTCCCCTAAACTTTGTCTTGGTGTTGAGTTTTAGTAAAAAAGAATCCTCTCACCCAGTTCCACCCTATTCACCGAAATCCACTCCAGCACAAATCTTAGGTAGTCATCGGCTGTCTCAGCTTCATGACAGCCATCTTGGGGTTTCCTCTTCTCCTCATCGTGGCTGAGAGGGAAAGAAAGCTCTGGGTCAGGCAGGAGAGATGCAGTTCTCCGTGACCTCGCAGGGCACCCCTTTTGCTACAGGGCTGTTTGGGTCCAGAATGCAGAGACTCACTCCTCATGTCCAAACTCACTGCAACGTCAGCTGGAAGCCCCATTTTTCTCATGCAAGTTCTGAAGGTTGCTTTTAAAGGGGTAGTCTATTCAGTTGGAATCAAGTTTCTTGAAAATTATTTGCAACCAAGAAAACAAATAAATACTTTTAAAGATTTAAAAAATCACACCTATAAAATAATTCTTGTTTAAAATTCTGTTGGCTTAATCTTTATTACTGGAAGTTGGAAATATATTTAGCTTGATTTACTGAATTTAAAAATATAAATTGATTCATAATGCCACTCTAGGATTTCAATTTCATTTTATAGTAATTCCTATTTTATTTATTAGATTTATACTCAGCTGTTCTTTCAAGAGTTTGAAACGACATACCTGGTACTCCTTCACCTTTATCCTATAGCAACAAATGTATGGGGCAATTTGTCAGAGAGTGACAATGATTGGCCCAAAGCTATCCAGCATCCTTACCTTCATAGTATACTTGAATCCGGCGTTACTTCCAAGCCCAACATTTTAACTTCTCTGTCATACTATACTGTTACGAAGAATAATTGTACCAGCTGTTTTTAAAATATATTCATTACCCATCATAAATTATATTTTGCAAAAATCAGCTTCATTAATTTTAGTTAATTGGGACAAATTATTACAAGCAATGAAAAATGAATCTTAAAGCAAAGAATTTCCTTCAAATTGCCTTTGAGAATGTTCGGAATGAGTTCAACACCTGGCATATCTTTTGCAGACACTTATGGATGCCTTGGTGTCTTTGATCATCTACCACAATGAAAAAAAGGCTATAATGTACTTGGTGAATTATGGGAAGGAGATGCTGTATTTTAAATGTAGAAAATGAAGAAAAAAACAGAAGAGAATAAATTAAATTACTTTAAATCCACAGATTGGGGATTGATTCTTAATTTGCTATGAAATGCGATGAAGTTATTAACTATCCAGAGCAAAAAGCAATGACATTCCAAATTGTCTAATCATAAAAATTAATTCTTGTAGGAAGCATTAATCATTTTTAGTCAAAAAATAATTTTAAATGAAGTGAATAACCTCTTAATCATACAGATTTAGCTGCCTAGAAGTGAAGTTGCTTTCTCTCCTTTTTCTCCCTCTTTAGCCATCTAATCCATATTTCACTGGCATCTGATTGATTTTAATCTCTTTTTTATTTTTTAAGGTGTTCCAGTGGCTTTGATCGTCATCGTCAAGATTGGGTAGATAGTGGTTGCCCTGAAGAGGTGATATTCAGCTATCCTATATTTATAATTATATTATGAATAGTTGATTCTTAAAAAGAAGAGGATGTCTTAGACTACAGCCCTGTTAGAAGAATAAAGCTTCTCTGAACAGTATTTAAGTTTCTAGATTTATCCTTCTCCCTTAGAAAATCACTGTTGGCAGCTGAACATCTGTTCTGTCACTTACATCATGAGCCTCTGTGTTGAATCCACACTTCTCTGTGTCCTAGCCATAGGTTTTGAATATGAAAAACTAAATCCAGAACTACCATCCCAAACTAAAATAAGTTTTATTTAGCTTGGATATTGTGTGATGGAAGAATATCACAATTATTGGACATATTTACCTTTTTTTCTAAAATAATAATAATAGCATTGGTATATACCATTATTTTGTTTATTAGTTTGCTTGGATGTTAGTATTGAAAAAGATGTTGAAGAACACTGATATTCATTTGATGGGAAAGCCTTAACTTGATTTTGTGTATAAGTGAAGTTTTTCAAAAGTGAAATTAAGTGAATTTTAACCCTGGAATCTGTATGTATGTATGTAATTCATATGTCCACTTGTTTCATGCTTATAGTGGTACATGCCCACCAATAATTAAATACAGTATAAGAGCATAAAACAAAAAAAGAAACAACAGCATAGAATACATATAATCTGCAACCAACATAAAAATCCACAACACGAATCAGAACAACCAATGCAAGACTCAGACACCAAGATTCCTAGGCTCTGTGACAAAACCATGTCTTTAAGGTCTTGCAAAAAACCAATAGGCATGAGGACCAATCTAATCTCAGAGCCAAACATTAGTTTGAGAGAAAAAAAGTAAATACAATGAACTATTTCATTCCATATTCTTTTTTTCAATTCTTTAGTGGCAAAGTTTATTGAGATTTTAATCTCTTTTAGCCAGCAAAAAATCTGATCTTTATATTTGCAAAGTCTTAATTTAAAATTTCCATGTTCACATATTATTGCATTTGTTGTGTTAGATATCTATAGAGCTCAGACAAATGACTTCAACTCAGAATCAATTATTTCCTTTCTTCATATTATTTTTCTTATGCAGTCAAAAAATAAGATTTGTGAGAACACAGACACAAATCAAACGCCTCTTCATATCACAACTGCACTACAGCAAACCACAACGAGACACAGAGTTTTAACAACTACCAAAGGAGCCATTATATCACATCTGCCAACTAGTCTACCCACGGAAGGTAAGAAACTAGAGTCGAATATGTTATCAGCAATGTTTAAAATTTGCACCATAATTCTATCATATGAAATTTATCTATTCAGGAGATATAATCCTTCAGTAATGCAATTACCAAAGATTTGTACCAAAGACCATGGTCCAAAACTCCCTATCACCACTATAAACAAAATCTTTCTATAATTTATAATAATTAAATTTAAAACTAATTCTGTTTTGGGTTGAAATTGACTTTCAGTATAATTAAGCAGCATAAATGGGTCCATAAAGTTAAAATACTTTCTGGGTTATTTAAATGTTAACTCAATATTTTAAAACCAGTGATTTGGAATCATTGAGATCTTCTACATTGAAACTTTTATTTTTTTGAAGTATTTTAACATCTTTAGTGGTCAAAAATACTGTTGGAGATTATTAGCTTTCATAAAAAGTTGAATATTTTGCCATATATTTCCCAAATGTATTAAGTGCTTGTGTAAGAGGACTGTTTGAATTACGTGTGGTATGTACTGTTTTTGGATGTATATTTTCCAAATGTATTAAGTGCTGGTGTGAAAAGACTGTGTCAGTTACAGGTAGTGTGCAGTGTTTTCCTGACATGTTTAATATTAAATCAGTATCTTGTAGAAGTGTGCAATATTTAGAATGAAAGATCTCTTTTATTAATGTGATGGTGTTGATATTGTTTACAAACTGGCGAGAAGGATGTTTTAAAAATAACTAACCTAAATAACATGCACAAAGTACAAGATCAGCATATAAAAAGTAGATATCAAGAAGTGACCTGCAGAAATTGTGTATAAATATTTATGAATAGAGAAATATACAAGAAAGCACGGTGGGTGGGATGATGAAAATGTAAACTACTGTAGAAAATGGATAGCATGAATTGGTACTTGAAAAATTGTGTAATGTTTTTTAAAAAACATAGAAGATCTGCCGTTACAATTTCCATGATGTGCAAACTGTTGTATACACTCTTGCCTATTGTTTTGGTTGTTTTTTTTTTATAAAACTCAGCATATTTATTTGACATGTACTAATTTAAATATAACTTTTTGGCTTCAGTTCAAGAATCAATGATATATCCATGAGGTGGTAATTAACACAGTGTATTAACTATCTAGTCAGGTATTAGGTTTTTTTCCACTCTATCTCCATCTTTGTGAGAAGAGTGTACAGGTAGTCCTCAACTTAAATCATTTATTTACTGACTGTTAAAAATTGCAATAGCACTGAAAAAAGTAGTCATATGATCAGAATTTGGACACTTAGCAACTGGTATGTGTTTATGAAGGTTACAGTGTCCTGGAATCATATGGTCACTTTTGCAATCTTTTGACAAGCAAAATCTATTGGGAAGCCAGATTCATTTAACTGTATTACTAACTTAACAACTACAGTGATTCATTTGGCAACAGTGCAAGAAAAATTATAAAATGGAGCAAAATGCAAATAACAACTGTCTGGCTTAACAATGAAAATTTTGGGCTCAATTGCAGCCATAAGTTGAGGACTGTCTGTATTAAATAGTTTTAATTTTGAATTGTCAATGATAATTCAATAAAATAGAAATTCTGTTTTACTTGTATATTGCAAGACATTGTATAGTTATGATGTAGTTAGTTATTGTAAAACATTTCAACAGAATTTCAGCTACATAGAAACCTTAAGCTTTTCACTCCTGCAAAGATAACACAAATAGAAGTCTCCTAATGCAAAGGACTATTTTTGAGTGTAAGAACCTGAAAGAAAAAATTAAGCTCTGTCAACATAAGCTTTTGAGCTTTATTTCTATAATACTAGTTCTTAGTGAACAAAGTAATAGCAGAAAGCTGGAAGTATCACAGTGTGGGAAATGATATAAATGGTTGCCTATGTAGTGGAATCAAATGATCCTGATGTCTGAAGATCAGATAAAGATCATAAAGTTAGTACATTAGATGAATACTGCTCCTGTGGAACATGAAAAGATGTTCTAAAGCTCACATCTGAATTAGTTCTTCCAATTGTTTTGCACTGCACATATACTGCACGAAACAGTTCCAGATTGTCATTCCAGAAATTTTTGGAGCAAAAAAAATAGTTCCAGGAGTGCAAACTATCACCCAGAGTTTAAGAAAAAAAGCCTCTGCTTCCTTTTGCTTGTTTATATTTTTGTTATTTCCCTTTTTGCTATTCTGATGGTACTATTTTCTTCTTCCCTACATTATGATTACAGCCATCCCAGATAGTGTAATCCAAGATTAGAGCATTATAGTAAATATCTAATCCGCTTTTCTACCCAGTATTACTATTACTTAGAAAGTGTTGGGGATACAATTCAATGCTGGCATACAACCTGTTTCTCAAAATCCTTGCTTGGCTCAGCTGGGCCCTACCATGCAGGAAAATGTAGCAAATAATTAATTGCTGGCTTCATTTCTATTCTAATTTTCCCCATATGAAAAGTGAAGGATATTTGTAGGATTTTCTGCCTCATGGATTAGAATATCTTGAATGGTATTAACTACAGTGAATTTAGTCTTAGGCAGCAAAAAGTATTTTTGCCTGGCTGCTGTTGCCTGTATTCCCACTCCATCCATAATCAGACTTGCATATGCCGTCCAAAACCAAATCATAAGTGATTCAAACATATACAGCACCTTGAAGCAATGCCTCTCACTATGCTTAGGTGGGCTGCAGGCCAGTCGTTCTTCACTTGTCTTAAAGCAAACATATTCCTTTCTCGAGGAGAGAAAGGAATGTACATTTGAAGTGTGTTGATCCAGTCAAACAGTGGCTCCTCTTTTCAATGTTATAACAATAGCAATAGCACGTACACATACATATAGATATAGTTATATTTCCCATAGTGCTTTACAACATTCTCTGGGTGGTTTACAACATCAGCATATTTCCCTCAACAGTCTGGTTCCTTATTTTACTGAACTTGGAAGTATGGAAGGCTGAGTCAACCTTGAGCTCCTCACAATCAAATTCCTGATTGTGGGCAGAGTTAGCCTGCAATTTTGCATTATTATCACTGAGTCATCAGGACTTTGGTGATGTTCTACCATTCATTGCTGACTGCTATTTCATGATGTGCCACCAAATAGTCTCAGTAACACAGGGCGTTCTTCCTATCCAGTTACAAAGTTTCACATGTAAAAAGCATCAAGAAAATAAAGGCTCTTATGAAACACACACACCTTAGCAAAATCACATCAATTTCAAGCCCCTGTATTCTGCCAGCGAAACCTCAAAGTAAGTGTGCTGTTCTGGCACTAGAAAACAACATAAAACAGAATTTCCACAAAAAAAAAAAATTTTTACTACAATATTATGCCCCAGCCAAACCCCTCATTAAAAAATCCTAGGAGATTTACATTTCTAAAAACTTCATGACCCCCAATGCCAGGGATGATCTTCCTCTTCAGACTTCACTGGACAGGAACAGCTTAAATTTACGTATCTAAAATGTCTCAACTCAAAGGCCATTCATGATCAAAGCTATTACTACTATAAATAATTTTACTTTTAGCTTTCCAAACTGTATAGCCTACCTTTGATTGCTATATTACATGGTATGTGGTTGAATAAACAATCCTCTTCAAGCAGTTGCCCAATGTGCTTGTTTGTGACCAGCTCAAAATCAAACCAAATAAATTATTCTAACTGAATAATCAGCAATGTTTTAGACACTCAGGATTGGTAAATTTCTTCAGACATTGTTGTCTTGACTTTCCTCTTCCCAATCAAAAAAGAGAAAACAAAAACATTCTCCACATCAGCTTAGCTCATCATGTTTACCTAAACCCATTTTTAATATTGCTTTTTATTGCTATAGTATAGTTCAGAAAACTTTGATATGGCAGTTTTAAAGATAAATCTCACCAATGACTTTGAAACAGCATAAGATCAGCTCTAAAAATTTTGTATAATAGTTAACAGTATAACTTATGCAGATCTTTAATGCAACCATGAATTGCTATAGAAACCTTTTTTAAATCCCTCGATGATTCATAGGACTACTCTTCCAACTCTTATTCAAGAGTGTCACATTTGTTTAAAATCATTTTAAACATATAATCCATTATGATTATGGATCAATTATTTCCAGTATCGGCACACTGCTATAAATAAATGTAAAATGCTATATAAACATAGCATTAGATGTTTAGATGAAATTCCTTTCTCTAATAGCTTTGAATTTCTTTTTCTAGATGATACCAAGATAGCTCTACACCTAAAAGATAATGGAGGTAAGAGCTGCTATTTTTTGCATTCAGATTACATGAACAGATCATCTAAATGCCATTCTATAAAACAAAATTGGTCTAGTAATTTATCCACTTACCTATGCTACAATACTAAGCAAGATATTCTGAGAGAAGCTTAGTATAGTCAGCTATCATATTTTGCATTACTCATTGTATCAATGAAGCAAACCTCTTTGAATGCTAATTTATTTTTAGAATATATACCCTATCTTCACCTAGACAAATAAATGTAGATATAAATGTTCATATTCAAATCAGAGCCCCTATTCATTGAATACAACAAAACAACAAGCTGAATCAACTCTCTCGATCAATGGGATGACAGATGTCACAGCCAGATCGCCCTTATTATTAGGCTGTTAAGAAGATTTAGCTCCTATTGCTGAAATAATTGTCTAACTATTAGTAAATCTGAATCAAAAATTATGATGTCTGGAATACATCATCAGAGACATGGGTGGCAATTAGATGGTGAACCAATTGAACAGGTTAACACCTTTGTATATTTAGGTGTAACTTTTTCCAAGACTGGATCTTGGGTTTGCCATCAGCAGCAGAGTACACTTAAAGCAAAAGCTTGTTTGAATTTACTGCTTAAATTAAATAATCATAGTTACTCAGGCTCTCTAGCCCCATTAATTATAGTATATAAAGCTAAGGTTACCCCCATGCTCTTGTATGGAGAAGAGGTTTGGGGTCTATATTCTACTACAGTATTAGAACAAACACAGTTCCAGCAGCCGAGATGTATTTTGGGTGTAGATCTAAGGATATATGCTGTAGCTGTTAGAGCTTAATTGAGGATTTATACAATTCATGCAGTGTCTAAAATCTATTTGATTGTTGCCTCTATAAGAGGGTGAGACACAGATACCTTGGTCTATATACTAAATGATTGATCCATTGGAAGCCCCATATCAAAACAACTTACCTTATGTGCGGCCAGAATTTGAAAACAACGTTTAATACAGGCGGGTGGACTCTGGTTAATGCTTCCCTCAAGAGGGAGCAATACCCCAGCACTTTAAGGGGGCTATGGTCTGTTCTCTTCTTAAAAAGCCATCATTCGATTCCACACGGTTGGATAATTTCTGACCTGTCTCCAATCTTCCTTTTTGGAGAAGGTTGTTGAGACGGTGGTCACATGGCAGTTCCAGAGCTGATGATTCTCAGCTGTATGTTTCTGCCCGTGGTGAGTTAAATGATGCTGTGTCCTCCCTCTTGCAGTGCCTAGAGGCTGTTAGGGGCTGGATAGAGAGCAACGGGCTGAAACTAAACCCTTGCAAGACCGAGTAGCTCTGGATTGGTAAATTAAATAAATAAATATAAATAAATAAATAAATAATATGGCACAGTACTTGAGCAATATGGTTTGGTTGAGATTAGCATATATGGGACTGATGGGGTAGATTGTAGAGATGATACTGAAATATTTTATTTTATTATCTATATATTAATTTATTGTATTTTACTTCAATTTCATTTTAAGTTGTATTTTATTCCAATTCCATTTTACATTGTTTTTATCAGATTTTAGTAATAATTTGTGTTTGGAACTCTGCACTTTGATATGGCCTATGGGCTAATCAATAAAATAAACTAACTAACAGTATGAAAATAACAAGCATTGTCAGTTTTAGATACCTGATCAGACCTTTTTTTTTTTTTCTATTTTTGATATATAGACAAGTCCAAGGAAATGATAAATGTCAGAGCCTCCACTACTTTAACTTTTTTGTTAACTCTTTTTTTTTTTTTCAAATGTTGGTGTCTTGAATCAATCAGGTTAACTTAAATTAATATCCATTTATCTCACATTAAGGCAATAATGGGATTTCAGGAATTGAAAACCTATTATTATTAGTCATAACAAAAATATCAAATTTAGATTTTGTTCTTAGCAATTTGGAGTTAAGCAAGGAAATTATTGTGATGCTTCAGAACCATTTCTTCTATGTTTGTTGTACTTTACAAAAATCAAAATTAGATGTGCTGTATTTACTGAAATATTTTATGGATGATGATAATGAATTTAGGTTTCATTTTTATATTCTGTTTTGTTGCCTTTAATCCTATATGCACTAGTTAGAAATAAGCTAGTTAATGTTTCAAATTGTTTAAATAAATTATCACCCAAATCAGCCTGACTTACATTTCACCATTAATTGGTAGAAGCAATGGAAAGATACGGTTGGATCTGCCCAACCTCTAAGTTTCCTTTTGAGAGAGTTTTGTCTGATTTTGAGAGATCTCTCTGACTTTCGAGATCATTTAATTTTTAGCCTATTTCTATTCTACTTTTCAAGACTATATTTTTTATTCATGAACTTATGACTTATTTTGAAAATTGTATTATCGCTGAAACACTTTTTTCACAATTGTGCAAGTTGTGCCAGTTGTGAAGCAATCGGCTTTGTTCGGGTATTTTCCCACGTCATTGTAGTTGTTCTTTTAAAGTTGTAGCAACGTTTCAGCAGAATCTCATCTGCCATCATCAGGCTTCTGTATAGTGTTCGTCTGTGAGTCAGACTTTTACAGTGGTTTCAGATTTAAAATTGGGGTAGCCTATTGCTGTGCCAGAATGGTTTTTTCTTCATCCTGATTGGTTGGGAGTCTTGGTCTGTGTTTATTGGCCTTGGAGTTTGCTGTGTTCTGCTTGATTGGTGTTTCTAATATCTTCTGTCTGTTTTTTGGCTCTTTTTGTATCTTGATTGGCTGGCAGCATTGTGTTACTTTATTGGAGGCCTTTAGTGCAGCTTGGTTTCGGGTAAATGGACGGCTATCATTAGTTAGGAAGCTGGGTTTCATCTGGGTGCCTGGTTGGGGTGTGTTTGAGCTGGAGGTATCAGGGGGGATCTGTTTGTGCCCAGGTGTTTGCCTGGCTTGTGGTGTGGAGATTTTTTTGTTTGTGAGTGCAGGCTTCCAAATGATTGACAGCCTGGTGGAATCATCTCTTCTATTCATGCTTTCTGGTCTTTTTTCAATCTCTATGGCTTCTCTGATGATTCTGTGGCTAGGGTTTTCTATAGTGGCTAAGGTTTTGGTGCCATTGAAGTTGATGCTATGACCTGTGGCTTCCATGTGTTGGACTAGTGAGGAAGTGTGTTCCAGCTTTTTGACTGCATTTTTGTGTTCATCCAGGCGGGT